TGTGTGTGTGTGTGTGTGTGTGTGTGTGTGTGTGTGTGTGTGTGTGTGTGTGTGTGTGTGTGTGTGTGTGTGTGTGTGTGTGTGTGTGTGTGCACTCCATATGTTGCAGGAAATAAAAATGTAATGTCCACTTTCTTTGTCACATAGGGGTAAAAAAACATGCAACACAGTAAATTCAGATACTATCATTATTTTACAGATTTCTATCAATTTTTATTTTTTTTACTATTATCCTCTTTATTTATTTGACCTCTTCTACCTCCTTTATTCTAATCTTTTTAATCCCTTTGATTTTGTTTGAAAATTGTGTTAAACTGGTTTTAATTAATTTCTTTTCATTTTGTCTGTGTTGTTTTTTAGTGTTCCTGTACAGGACCTTGAATCTACCTCTGTGTAACAAATATGCTTTATAAATTAAACTGCCTTGCCTGATAGCAAAAAAAGACATTATTCTCCATTTATCTGCTGTCAGATCTGTAGTGATCTTCTAAAACTCCTGCAAATCAGTGGTATGAAACCCCTGTGTGACTGTTTGTTATGTGGTATGTTATAGATCCAGTGGGAGGCCTCCCCCGAGCAAAAACGCCAGTGTCTTCTCAAGGGAAAAGACAATAAGGTTTCATTTAGTTTTTCTCAGTTTCTCTTTTGTTTCATCTTTTTTTGCATTTGGTTTGATATTCACCCTCCTAAATAACTTTTTTTTTCTCTGGTTTTTGATTTCTCTTCCAGACCGAGTGTTACAATCACATCCGCTTCCTCCAGAGGTTCAACTCGACTCACCTCTACATGTGTGGGACTCACGCCTTCAGACCACTCTGTGCATATATAGTATGTCGGTGCACAACAAATGACTGATAATGATATTGAATTTCTTTTTATAGCCGTGCGAGCTCACCACATCTCTTCCTCCTTACCCATATGTTTTGTCCTGTGTAGGATGAGAAGAGGTTTGTGATGTCGTCTCAGCCTGAGGAGGGAAGAGACAAATGTCCGTATGACCCAACAACAGGCTACACCGCCCTCATCATAGGTGAGGCCTTTTAGCAGTTAGCCATTTCAAAAGTTTCACCCAACAAATACATGATACAATAGATTGATTTTCCTCCAGACCAGCAGATGTACACAGCTTCCCAGTACGAGTTCAGGAGCTCTCCAGATATTCGCCGCAACTCTCCGCCTCCCACACTGAAGACAGAGGACGCTCCCACACGCTGGCTGAACGGTAAGCTAAGCCTCTCGAAAGATAAAAGCTTGTAGAGATGTTTTGATGGCAGGTTGGTCCAAGTGGTCAAAGCATCTGTCCTTCAGTCAGCTAAAACCAGGTCAGGCCTCCACATCAACAAGTATCTACAGTTCTCTGCTGAAGAAGCCTGAGCAGCTTCAGTGGATCATCCATCCATTATCTGTACCCCCCCATCCTAAAGTGGTCAAGGGGGGCTGGAGCCAACTGGGTGAGAGACAGGAGACACGCTGTCACCTGTTGATTAACCACTTTACATGTTATTGTGAGAGACCTGGAGAAAACCCGCAGAAGCTGCTTTCAGACGTGCACTGAACCGGATATTCTCCTGAAATAACCAGGAGGAGCTGTATGTGAGATTGCAAATGTTGGAGTCAGTTGCGAACCTATTCTATAATGTGTTATTTTACTTTTTGTCAAACCTGCGTCTGATTGCTCCACTTACTCGTAAAGCAGCACAGCTTAGTTTTACATGCATAGATAATCCTGTTTTTCTCTTCCAGTCTGTCACTGTAGAGCCTCACAGATCTGCTGGCATCCTGTAGCTTCTGACAGTCTCATTAATATGGTGCTGGGTTGCAGAAACTCAAAAACAAGATGTTTTGCTGATTACTGAAGCATGTAAACAACTTTTCACCATCTGTGCAAACTATGAACTCGTATACATTTCCCCTCATAGTATAGGAAGCCAACTGCAGTGCAAGAATGGTTTCTGCACCTGCATTTTTCCCCCCTTTCTTAACTGTTTTGGTTCATTATTGCGAGCTGCTCACCTAAATAACCTAAACAAGTCTCTGTGGATGTAAACTCTATCATTGGATAATTACAGTATCACTGCGTGAGTCATTGCATCATTTTCTCCCTCATACAGAGGCAGATTTTGTCGGATCTGCATTCGTGAAGGAGAGTTTGATCAGCAGCACCGGTGATGATGACAAGATCTACTTCTTCTTCACCGAGAGGGGCCAGGAGCAGACGACCACCTACAGCCACAGCCGGGTGGCACGAGTGGCTCGGGTTTGTAAGGTGAGAGCAGTTTCACAAAGAGATACAGGGAGATATTTTGCAACTGGGAGTGAAGCTATGCATCCTCAGGCAAATGCAAGTAGTTGATGATAGGAGAGGGTACTATAATAGATGAGAGGCTAGATGGAGAATGCATTGGTAACAAGGCCCTGGGAGCTGACTGTGCAGCTGATGAATGGGTTTTGGAGTCAGTGTGCCTCAGAGTGAGAGGGATGGGTGACTGCAGGGGGAAAGACGGAGGATTCAGCTGCCTAAAAAGTTAATGATTTACATTTCCTGCTTCCCAGTATGGAGCGAGGAAACCTGTACACTTATAAAGTTGTTGTTGTTGTTTTCTCCTGTGGCATCTTAAAATAAAGTCAGCAAACAAGTTCTCCCCCTGAATGTTTTGAAAAGTTGAATCTTTATCGAAATGCCTTGTGTCGGTACAGGTGACATTTTCAATTTGCCACTGGCTGAATATTCAAGAAAAATATAAAAAATTAAAATCAAAGGCCAACACAATGCAAAGTTTCAAAAGGATTTGTGGCTTCAAGTCAAGCTTTTCCATCATTTACCTGTCAGAGCATTATTCTGGATTGTGAGCGGGTGTTGAGATGTGTGTGTGTGTACACGTGTGTGTGTGTACACATGTGTGTGTTTACACGTGAGTGTGTGTGTGTGTGTTTGTTTGAGACTGAAAGAATTGTGCTTCACAGTGAGCACTTTCAACCCACTGAGGACAAACACACTCATATACAGTATAAGCCTTGGGATTAGTCAGCTGAAATGAATGTACAGTTATTGCTTACCGCTGCCTTTTCTCTGCTCTTTACGAGGTTCACTTCCCCTCACGTTCCACCTCGAGCAGTGTTCAGTTTGTTTTTTATTTAGTTTTTACTTAATGTGACCCTTTCTCTTCCTTCCTCCTCCTCTGTTCCTCCTCTTTCCTCCACCTCTCTTCCCTCAGGGGGACCGGGGAGGACATCTAACTCTCCAGAAGCGATGGACATCCTTCCTCAAGGCCAGGCTGGTGTGTTCTCTGCCCGAGTACGACTTCCACTTTAACATGCTGCGCAGCGTGTTCGTCATGCCTGGACAAACGCCTCAGGACACGCTCTTCTACGGCATCTTTGGCCTGGAGTGGTGAGTGGGGAATTTACGTGTTGTCGAGCTCTCCAGCTGATGGGGGCTTTGAGGGTGCAAATGTAAATGAGCGGGACAGAGATGAAAGGCAGCGATCGATACATTGAGGCAGACGAGAGGGGACGAGATGAAAGAGAAGGGCGAGACGAGGCCACGAGAACTTCTTTTAATCCAAACGATAGAAAAACGAGTTGGGTGAAGGAGATTTGCAGGAGTTTGAGGACAGAATATTAATTAAACATGCAGATTAAGATGTACTCAAAAGTTGAAGTATTTCAGTCCTGGTCGATTTAGCAATATCTGTGGTTACCATGGTAACAGCAAATTGGGTTTAATACTGCAGCAAACACTCATTGAAAACTCTCACTTTTAAATCGACTTCTCCGCCCCTTCCCTGTTCGTTCCTCCCATTTCTCTCTTTTCTAACATGAGCCACTGATCTACTGTACTTCTACTGCTGTCTCTATGGCAACACTGGGTTTACCACTGTTATTGTAGGCTGACTGTGCTCTGGTCTTTCTCACGGTTTGTCCTTGTGTGTGTGTGACGATGTCTTTAGGAAAAACGTGAAGGCGTCTGCGGTGTGTCGGTTCTCTCTGTCTGAAGTCCAAGAGGCCTTCGAAGGACCCTACATGGAGAACCAGGACTCTGGCTCCAAGTGGAGGGAGTACACTGGAAAGATCCCTGACCCACGACCTGGAACGGTAAACACACACACAGAGAACACTTAGCACAGACAAAATGTGTCCCTGCTCCTCAGGCTGAACAAATTCACACCAGAAAACCAACAGATTAAACTAATGCAGAGAAAAAAAGCGTACAGGACGGATGCACAGGAAAAGATGGAGGAAAGATGATGAGAGTAGCCACAAGGATGAGGCTCAAAGCACAACCAGCTTAATGCCACTGAAACCATTTCCATGACTATTAACTTCAGCCCGTAGCGTTTGGCAACTGTAGCTTAGTGTGGCAGCCAGGGCCGGGGCACCGTTGGCATGGGCAGACATTATCCACTGTAGTATCACTTTGTTGGACTTAATTTTAACTTTGCTATATAAGGAAAATGAGAAACAGGTTTTAACATGAGAGCGTGAAAGCCTCTTAGAGGAGCTGGCTGAAGTCGTTGGGATCGCACAAAGAGAAACTGAAGTCATTCCCTTAGTCAGGTGCACAGAGAGCTGAGTCGCCCACATGTCAGCCTGAGCCGGCCGCTGAGCTCACACAGGCTCATTGTTGTCGCGTTTTCCCCGGACCAATCTTCCCCTGGCTCCCTTTTCCTTGATCCCCTAATTTTCCGTGCAGACCATCTCGCTAAGCCTCATGACATCCTCTCCCCCTTCCACTACCCGTTTTTATTAACAGTCTTAATTACAAATGAGCCAAAAATGTCTGCTTTCCCTGGAGCCAGTATCATGCCTGTCCTGGCTTCTTCTCCTGCAGTGTATAACCGACGCTCTGAGGGCCAGGGGCATTAACGTCTCCACCTCGTTGCCCGATGATGTGTTGGACTTTGTCAGGAGGCATCCTCTGATGTCGCAGCAGGTCCAGCCTTCAGATAGACGTCCCCTCCTGTTCAGGAGGACGACACACTACACGTACATGGCTGTGCATGAGATCCAAGGCTTGGATGGAGAAACAAATAATGTGCTTTACATGGGAACAGGTGTGTATGCATCCATATCAGGTGTTAATCTGTGCCACTGAGATGTTAGGAGGGGTTGTGTGTTGGGATATCGCTTGTCAAAGTGCAGTTACTTTCTGGAGTCTTGTCATCTCTGTTGTTGCTGCCTGTCAATTACTTTTACACCTTTTTTTTGTCTTTCATTAATGTCACTCTGATATGAAAACCAAAGACAGAGACCTGGACAAAAATGACAGCCCAGAATTTTGTCACTGACTACATTTATATTGACACCAACAATCCCTGAACAAGAAGGTTCTTGGTTCGTCTGTAGTCTTTATGTGTGGAGTTTGCATTTTCTCTACATGTCTGTGTGGGTTTTCTCTGGGTACTCCGGCTTCCTCCCACATTTCAAAGACATGCTGATTGAGGTTAGATTAATTGGAGACTGTAAATTGTCTGTAGGTGTAAATGTGAGAGTGAATGGTTGTTTGTCTCTATGTTAAGTCCAGGGTGTACCCAGCCTAGATAATGAATGAATGGTTCCATGGTTATCAGGTTGATCTATAAGGAAAAAAATGTTTACAAGAGAAGTCCACATCTTATTTACTTTAGCTACATGTCCACTCAACAATGTTGAGACAAAGAATTCAATTACTGTCCTCATCTGCAGTTGGTGTTTGCAAGTTAATTTGAAATGAATAAGCGTCCGTGTCTCTCCTCTTTGAACGTGTCCCTCAGATGAAGGATGGTTACACAAAGCTGTAGAAATCGAGGGTCAACTCCACATTATCGAGGAGCTTCAACTGTTCGAGGAGCCGCAGCCTGTTAATGCTTTACTGATATCTGCAAAACAGGTATTGTATTTAAGCATCACATGCACACACATATTGTATCAGAGGACTAATCTCCATCCTATGATATTTACACCTTCCCTCCTCCCTCAGATGAGTGTGTACGTGGGCTCTCCATCGGGTGTGGTGCAGCTCCCGCTCTCCAACTGCCACAGATACACGTCCTGCTACGACTGCATCTTTGCCAGGGACCCTCACTGTGCCTGGAACGGAGCCCAGTGTGTGGACGTAATGGCACACACAGACAGGTGGGTGTTGCAGGATGAGCGAGCGTGTGTGTGTGTGTGTGTGTGCGTGAGATTCAATCAGGTGATGATTAAAGTGCTGCAGGTGCCCCTTTCGCGTGTTTGATTTGAGTAACCTCAAGTATCACGGTGCCCTGTCACACTGTCAGCTCCAAGAACTGTTGCACAATGACAACGCCAGCAGGAATATTGGCTGTGATAATAAACATTGCACGCAGCTGTGTACTTAAAGGTTACTGATTGACATGGACAGCAATGCTTACTCAGTAGAAAGCTGTTATCTAAGCAATAAAAGACGTGGGATGTGCACGGATCAGAATACAGAAAGAAACTAATATTCTCATTGTTATGCTTTCTCTTTCTGCAGATCCACTTTAATCCAGGACATTCAGCGTGGCAGCAGGGGATGTGAGAACATACAAGATGGTACGCAGAAAACTCGTCGACCATTGGGTTCCACTGCGTAAAAAAAAAGTTTGTTTTTGGCACAGTGAGCGATGAAAGGAAGATTAAAAATAGAGAATGTTAGGAAGGACTTGAAAGATGCATAGTTGTCATGCGATGGCTTTGAAAGTTGATTATGCACACTGTGTTGGCAAATTCCTCTCCTCCCTTCTTTAATCACATTTTTACCATCTCTGGAGAGAAATCTGTTTGATATTCAAGACAGCCAAATGCCTTCTCTCACTTCAGTTTCAGTCTATTAAAACGTAGCATCATCCGGCCCTGCGTTCATCTGTCTTTGAACAAGGTGACACAAGGGCAGGAATGAAAAACACTGTAGTTAGAGTTAATGCTTCAATAACTTTGGACAGCATTTCAATTAAATTTTTTTGGTGTTAAGTGATTAACATATAAAATAAGTCAGAGGCTGTGGTAAGTTTTCCACTAAACTTAATGTGTGTGTTTCAGATGTTGTCGAGCGGAGCCGCTCTGTGCGGGTGGGCGATGACGTGCTGCTGCAGTGTGAGCTCAGCTCCAACCTGGCGACGCCGCTCTGGACTCTGGACGACGGTGAGCTGCAGGGTTACGGCCTCAACTCGGGTTTCAGAACCGGCACAGACGGCCTGCTGATCATCGAGGCCCGGCAGGACCAGAGCGGGCTGTACACCTGCTACGCTGTTGAGAACAATGTCAAGGTGGCCGTAGTTGCCTACAACGTCAGCATCCAAATTAACCTGCCCCCGCCGCCGCCTCTGGAGCCAACTGAAGACCCTTACAGTCTCTTTGCGACCATGCCATCACCCACTGATTCTCCAAACTCAGAGAGGCCCTTGCCACCACCCCCAGCCCCTCTCCTCCCCCACTCAAAGCTGCTCTCCCCCAGGAACATGGAAGCCATGTACCTGTCCCTCATCACCATCCTCGGCGGCCTGTGCATGGTCCTCACCGTGGTCCTCGTCTACGTGGGCTTCTGCCTGCGAGTGGGCAACAGAGGGAAGTACTCATTACGTGCTGCTGCTGCTGCTGCTTACCCGAAGAGTAAGAGGCACATCAGGAACAGAAAACAGATGAGAAGCTCCTCCCACATGGAGCTGAAGACCATCTCAAGCCACTGCAACGGCAATGGCGTTTGTAATGGCGTTTCAAAGCAACATAATGGCAGCGTCCAGGACGGAGGCTTTCTCCAGATTGTCCCCGGCGAGGCTCACCCGTCACCAAATAAGGAGCCTCCTCCCCCCGCCCCTCCTCTCCCTCCCACGCCGCAACTTCCCTCTCCAGAGTGCGACTTCCCCAATGGACTGTCGGCCACGCTGCCCAGCGTGCTGAGGAGAATGAATGGGAACAGCTACGTGCTACTGAGGCAGAGCGACTCTGAGAACACGTCGCCGCTCTGCTACCCATTCGCTGAGGAGCTCAATAAGATCTTGGAGAAGAGGAAACACACTCAGCTGCTGCCCAGGCCGGACGAGAGCTCTGTGTAGTGATGTGTCTCCCCCTGTGGTGGGAGGACTTCTGCGTTTTTACCTGGTGCTGAAGTGCCTGACTCATTATTGTTGTGGACTAAACCAATAAGAGTCTTATCTTTTTTTTTTTTTTTTTACAAGTCCACATTCAGACATTCCCACTTTTTGAACAACTGGGCTGTTTTCAAACTTAATTCTCAAATTCTCCAACCCAGGTTCCTGATGAAGGACGGAGCATGAAGTGAAAAGAAAGTGTGATCTACCTCACCTCAATACTGCCCACAAAGACACCTGCGGTCATCCTGTAGTCTGACCCTGGTCACAAAGCTGATGCCTCAGTAGGAATATAAATACATGTGAAGATGGGGGCTGTCAGATTTGGCTCAATTCACACTGGAGGGCAGCTAGCCAAAGTTTGTTTGCACTGACAAGTGCACAGATGGCCTATGCATTTTTTAAAACAGGACATTCAAACGTTTTAAATAATGGAGTAGATGTGGTGAAAGAGGGAATTTAGTTATAACTTTTTAACTGACTTTAAAATAATATACATTAACACTTAACACTGAAAATGAGACATCACTGATTAATGGTGAACTAATCAATATTTAATATTACTATTAACCAAAGTTTGGAGTAATTAACCAAATTTAATATTTATTAACTTATTCAAACATTCACTGATTTGTGGTATTAAAACAATTTGCAATTTGTGCTTAATAACATAACTTGCATGTCAACTTTTAGTCATTATCAACTTTTTAAGAGCTCTAATTCAAGTCACAGTTGAGGTTCACCCAATCCATCATAAATGGTTGAAATAATTGTTAAAATGTTGAATGTTACAACCTTCTACTGGTCTTTGTTATTGTACAGCATATAAACATAATTTACAGAACATTCATAAATTTGAATATCATGGAAATATTAAATTGTGATTATTTCACCAAGTGTTAATCAAAATCCTGATGAAAATATGACAGTATTATTGATTTCAATGCACTTTAACGACCAGTTTTAAGGCGTTTTGGAAAAGTTATTGGACGCTATTAAGGAATTCGACATCGCAACCTGCAGAGCTTTTTGTGATTGGGGGCATTTATCAGTGTGAGGAGCTGCAGCAGCAGCGGAGGCCACAGCTGCGTCTCCGGGACACAAGTGGATTAGGAGAAACACATTGACTATGTCTCAGCTAATCTGGATCCTCTGCTGAGTGACCCCCTGGACGAGAACATAACACACTGACTGTGGAGAACAGGAACCAGCATCCAAGGTAAATATGTCCTATATCTCACCAACACATCTCCACGGGCTCTTTGCCAAAGAAGCACTTAAAGACATGGGTCATGGATCAGAACGCTGGGTGGCTGAATCAGTGTTTAGATACATACAGATACAGAGAGCAGTGTTATCTCACTTTCTCTGGATTTTAATCTTCTGCTGTTCTAACTAATCTTTCATCTGACTGTTGATCGCCTGGGGAGAGTTTTGGTTCAGAGAAGCCTGAGTGAAAACATCTACTGAGGTCTGACTCACTCAAAACAGTAAAACGGAATAAATTAACAGAATCATCTCTGACACATAAACATTCTCACAGTGTAATTCATTTTGAAAAATATGTTAAAGCAGTGAGGCTTCATTCCCCATAACCAGGAGCTTCATGCTTATGGGAGAATATGCAGATTATTTTCTCAATCAGTAGCTTCATTAATAAAATATTTGGAAATATTTCAGTGTTCATCTTAGTTTCTCATAGTCTAAGGTTGTTTAAATGTGGTTTTGTTTGACCTGCATAACAGAACATCATAATATTTGATTACTATCGCTAGGGAGGTTGTGTTTTCACCCCTCGTCTGTTTGTTTGTTTGAAAGTAAGATTACACAGTAACAGCTCAAGGATTTCCACCATGATGAGAAATGGTTCAGGGAAGAACCCATTTTGCTGAAGATCAAGGAATTTATTTTCACTTGCTTCAACATTTTGAGACTTTTGGCAATTTCTCAGGGCATGATTCCTGGATTTTGGTAAAACATTTTTAAGTTTTACAGCTAAGCCAACAAAACAGTGCAGGTCAGATCATAATTATAATCTCCGTTGCAGACCACTGATAATGTTTTTCATCAAGATCTATGTAATACTCGCTGCGTCATCCTCTGTCCTTAACCCTCAACAAGAGAACAGACACCCACTGACAGGGGAAAACAGGAAAAGAAAGTGTGTTTCTCTTTATAGACATACATCTGTTATCTCATTCAATCTCACACTCCATCTTTATTTGCATTGCTCTTGTTGCGCTCCTGTCAGAGGGCAGCATTAATTAAATGCTCGTCTTGACAAGTCTGACCTTACTGCTGAAATAGGAAGAGGAGAGAGCAGTAGAGATCTTTCCCCTGAGATTTAAACTACGCAACAATCTCAAGCTCCCAATTATTTTCTCATGCCCCCACACTCAGGGTGGGGTTCTGTAATTTACACACACTTATAGACTCATGCAGCCAATGAATTCAAACATTTCCCTAAAATAGATGTGATTGATCGTTGATTATTGATCCTGCAGTACGGTTGGGTAGTCACACATCTAATTGTATATATAAGAAGCCTGTGATAGGAGACGCTGGATGTGCTGCCATGGGGAGCACGAAGAAGCAGCTAGAAGAGTGAAGCCCTCCCGTCTGTGGTGCCGATCAAAGACGTGAAGGGAGGCGGACATAGCTGCTCACACATTAGCAGCTTTCATTAAAGCCCTCTGACCTCATTGCAAACCACCTCACACAGTGAACACAGCAGCAGGAGTTGCTTTTGTCACATTTTGACCCTGTGTTCCTCCAAAAACATTTAAAAACAATATGTAAATACTCTGTAGTGGAGACACATTGCTGACACTTGTGACTGAGTCATGTTTCTTTCCCTCTTGTTACAGATCTGATGAGCACAGGTCAGTTTGAATCTTTGCTAATTTCAATCCCGGGGACAGCATCTCCTAACCAGCATCAGATGCCTGACTGGCTGTTCTCTTAATGAGAAGTGAGATTAATTACACAGCAGCAGCAGAAGAGACAGAAAAGGCTGGAAAAAGGGGAACGACAGCAAGAGAGTCTCTGCAGCTCTATCGAAGCTCAGCTTCCCCACAACTGGAATGATAATTGGCGGCTGGCGCATCTCAGCAAGCAGCGTTTGCTCTTCTTTGTGTGCCGACAGCGTCCCTGCAACGTTATATGAACAAACCCAACGTATAATAATGACCCTTCCTCACAACTGCTGCATGAATTTTCTTTCTAGTCTGGTGTTTGTGCGTGAGTCGAGGAAACAAAAAATCCTCCTTCCTTATGTTAAAAACAAGTGCCAAGGTTTATCTTTCAAAAGTGCTTTGTGAGCCTATTTTATTGCAAAACCAGAAGAGAGGGTTGGCGTATTTATTTGTAATTTAATTTTGTACGAGTGTTTTTGAAGTTATGGTCGATGTTGTTTAAACGCCACCCATCTGTTAAATACGAGGGTCACAATAGAAGAAGTACAGTAGCCCAAAGCATGCAGAGGCTGTACCAGCAGCACAGAATTTAGTATTTATAACCTGTTAATTTACCTTTTCACGATGACCTATTAAAGGTAGGGTTGGTCATTTGCTTCTAAAACATTTTTTTCCCCTATTTGTTGAAATCTTCCTCCTGTACCGATCAACAAATAAAGTTGTGTGGAAAAACAAAAGAAGAAAAACACTGGTGTGTGTGTGTGTGGCCGTCACATCAGGACTGTAATCGACATGAACGAATGAATTGACTGGTCGAAAGTTAGCGAGGGAGTCGTCTTCTAGCAGTTGTCAAACAGTGCACGTTTATGTGTTTTGTGGGCGTGGGAAGAGTCATATCGGTTGCATATTTTAAAAGTGTTTCAGGATTACCAACCCTAGCTTTAATCAGGTATCCTCCAGCTTTCCTGCCTCTGTAATGTCACCATATTAGTTTGATCTGCTTGCATGTTACACCACACTTATGCTTACTTATATGCACACAGCAAATCATATTCTCTCACTTAACTAACATAAAGAGCTACATGGCACTGGGTTCCTTCAGTCACGAGTTTAAAATTAAACTTTGTACTTCCACCTCTTCCTTCTCCTCTCATCATTGCTTGTGTGTATTTACAGTTTTGCTCTCACATTTCACAAAGACAGGTCGATGAAACGAGCCTCTCTGGTGTCAGATCTCTGGTATGTTAGAAGAAGTAGGCTGAGCAAACTGTGCATCAGGTGGTTAATGTCAAACTCTCAGGAAAAAGGAGGCGTCGTTGCTGGAAGCTGGTTCGAGTTCCTGCAGCACGGCACTGACTGGTATGGAAAATGTTCCTGGGGGAGGTTGAGCACTGGTTCAGATCCAACAGGAGGGAGTCCCACACAAAATGCAAGCATTCAGTACACAAGCAGAAAATAATACCTCTGTTGATGCAGCTATTATAAAAGAACAACTGAATCTGAGCCTTTTGAACTGATCTCCCACAAATGTCACAGTTAATACACGAGACCCAGAGATTTTTCCATCTTCTTTATGACCCTTTCTCATGTTCCTGGGTGAGAAGGAAACACCCAGCTCTCAGGCAGTAACTCACTCCACTCTAATACATTATCTGCAGCACAACTAAACACCCACAAATAGGACAGACGTGTCGCACACAGACAAACAGCCACAGGGTGATTTGTAGGAGTGCCAGGTACCTGCAGTGTGTGCAGCTTGATATGTGATTAACAAACTGTCGTGGTGTGTGCGTGTTGTTTATGTAACGCTGCCTCAGTTGAATCAGGGTCAACAGGAAGAGCTTGCTCTACCTCCTGAACGGCAGATTGGAATCTTTCCATTTCATTCACCTGAAACGTGCAGATTGAATAAAACTGCTGCTCTGAAGAGACTTGTGAAACGGCACCTTACTGTCATGGCTGATGGTGTTAGTCTGTTAGTCCACCACTCTGGGCCACAATGAAATAGCAAAACATTTTGTTCAGACATTTATGACATTCCCCTCACATTTCTTCTGTTTTTTGGATTTGTTGATGATTTGTTGCCCTAAAATCTAGAACACACACATCATGTGAATGACAGGATGAAGCATTGTTACCAGTATTACCATGATCCCTCAACCTTTATTGTATCATCAGGTCAAAACTCAATCCTGCACCACATTGCACACATTTTTTTCGTTAAGATCAATGAATTATTCTCTGACAAATGGCTGATGATGCCAAAAATACTAACTCACAATGTTAAAGTGATTTAAAAATCCAATCCTTGATCCCTTCCTTCGTTCGGATCTGTGCTTGAATTTGATGGGTTCTTTTTTGGCACCTGTCCCATCATTTTTATCTGCTAATATAGAAAATTATAATCTTCTTGGTGGTGGTTGGAAGCCGCTGTTACAGATCGGCCATATCTCTGTTGGTTAAGTTCATTTTTTCCATGTTTTGATGTTTCTCTTCACACACTGACATACTGTATATATCAGACATGTTTCCATCAAGGCTCACCAAAGAAATGATTTATGTTCCACTCACTGGAGATAAGATTCTGGTTTGGATAAGATGGATGTGGTGAGATGAAGGTTTTTCTGGGAAAACATGTCACTTGGTTCAATTTTCTTTATACAATCCAGTGTAACTGTATACTTGCAGATAATGAAAATAGACTTGTCAATGGACAAATATCTAAAAATAATCATTCATACAGTCCAGTAAGAAAGTTATTTTAGTACTGTACACTTAAATCATCAATTATCAAACTTAGAGCTGCCTCTTACTGTTGTGGTGTTTTGTTGTTCACTCTCAGTGTGAGTTATCTGCCTGCTCTTTGCACAACACTACAAACATAGAAAGATCCTGTCAGATAACTCGATCTGAGATTAAAACACATGTTCTATTCCTGGACTGGATTTAAACCTCAGAGACAAAAATCATTTCATCTGATCAGTTTGTCTTCCTTGTGAATACAATCTGCAGATGTTTGATGAATATCACCTCAGCAGAGACAGTAGAAAAGACTCTTAGTGACAGATGAGGTTAAAAAAATAGATTTTAGATTGTCAACATCAATCATATTTCAAGGTAACCTTCAGTGAGGCAGAGCAGAAAGAGATGGGAGGTGGAAGGATTTATTCTTCCTCGGTTTTTACTTTGTTTCTTTTAAGTGTTCTTAATTTTTGATTTATATGTCAGCAGCGGTGCTTTTGTTAGGGTTTACTAAATAACACAAAAATAAAACCCTCACCTATTAAAGTGTTTTTTTGGATTAAATTACAGTCACATTAAACATCAAACTTCACACATATGAAAAATACTTACAACGGGGTGTTGGGGCCACTTAATTAATTCAATCAAGTAATATTTCAAGAAGAAATTTGTAAAAAGTGCACAAGTTCTTCTTGCTGCTTATTTGGTGGAAATTTTAGATTTTCTATATTTTCATGATATTGTCACTTTTTTCTTATTAAATTACAACTTTATTCTTGAATTTTGACCTTTCCTTGAAATCTCAGAACCTTTTTTTTCCAATATGGCAATAATACTCCGCCAAAGGACACAAAATGACAAGGAAATTGAAATTGAGTTTTATGTCTTACGTTTCATGTTATTTTCTTATAGGTTCGGCCCTCCACCCAACGTCCCCTGACTCTTCATTTGATGTGTGAGTCTTTGCCGCCTGTGTGATGTTGGAAATGTCACTGACAGAGATGTGCTGTGTGACTTTGACAGCCGGGATGATTAAGAGGATCTGGAGCCTCTGTGAAGTACAGAAGAGTAACAGCTGCAGGGACACACAAAGCGTACTTCACTGTGGTCTCACATCCAAATACATGGATCCATCCAGTCTGCAGATTTAATGAAAAACTAAACTACACTGTTATAACTGTGCACAAAGCATATCTGTGATAATGTCTGAGAAGCCTTTGTGTTTGTCACTACTATGGAAAAGCCTGTTCATTACATTGACAAAGCAATATGTGTCTCACTGCACTTTTCTTCCTCCAAAACAAACAGATACTGTTGTTGGTTCATGCAAACAAGCAGCTCTTCTTCCTCCTCCTCCTCCTCCTCCTTAGACCGGTTTGACACCAACAAAGCCACGCGCCTGTGCTGTCACAAACACCACACTCCCATAGCTCCCATTCCTGCACGCGGGTTGACCGGCTTACTGTCAACTCATAGTTTCTCCAGGCAAGTCTTATGGCTGTCAGTCAGACATGTTGGCACCTGGAGGTAAACATGCAGAGAGCTATGACGTTTGTTCTGGAGATGCACAAAAAAAACCTGGGTTTGATACAGCAGATTAAACCAAACTGGCCTTTTGGTGAAATTCTATAACTTTTGGCTTTTGTTTCAAAACAGCAACGTTTGTCCAATTTTCTGACAGTAGCCGACACAATCATTACAGAGGCAGAACCAGAGCATTAAAAGATGAAACCCTGTGGTTTTCTGTTCACGCAGCAGGAGCAGAGGACGTAATAGGAGAAGGAAATTAGAGACGAGGACACAGACACACCTAGGTGACACATCACCTGGACAATCAGCCTGACAACCACATTCTCAGTAGTGTGACACACACACCTACACACATTCACACAAGGTTTTCTGACACGTCACAAGGTTTTCTGATCTTCAGACTGATGTTTAGATAGAAGCTCATTTCAGTTTCACCTGAAACCTTGTGAGCAATAACAATGAAACTCCTACATGTGTTTGTCTTTCTTCTTATTTAACAATTTAACAGATTTAGTGAAACACAGACTGCTGCTGTGCAGCTACAGTGTATTTGTCTTTGATAAAGAACAACACAGTGCGGCAGCTACTGAGTCAAATGTCCTGGAGAGGCAGAGACAAAGTGTTCGATCTCTGACTCCTGGACTTTGACAGTGTGTAAACATCCTCCAGGCCGCTGCACAGGTCTGGTTGGACTTTTACTGTTTTAAAAGTAGACAGATAGAAGAGAGCACGTGAACAGGCCCCAGGGAGGAGCTGCATGTTATAGTTTCATGTTCATCATGTGAAACTTCATAAATAGTGTGTGTCTAGTCATTTTTGTTACCTTTGTAGGACCTTATCCAGCATAAACACTGACCTTGTCAGGACTGGTAGACGTCATGGGGACCAAAGCCTGGTCCTCATGAGGTGCTGGTTTAGGTTAGATGTAAGAATGAATTGTGGTTAGGTTAAGGTTAGGGTTAGGCATTAATTGGTCATTGTTAAGATTAGAGATAAGGTTGGGATTAGGCTGTCTGCAATGAGAGTCACTTAAATGTAGTTGTGCAATTGTGCAATAGTTGTGCAAACCTGTGTGCTTGTTTTTGTGTGTGCTTGTATTCCAGGGAATCGAACTTACCCTTTGGACAATGAGCTCACACCCAAACGTTTCATTCTCGCAGCAGTGGCGCCACCTAGTGACGCTCTCTGTTCAATAAGGTCTGATGCATTTCTGCTGTTCACCACTAGAGGTCCCAACCAGCCTGCTTATGGAAAACTCCTCATGTCACTGTCCAGTATACTCCACTCTCTTAGTATAAACTGTTATAGCACCAACAAGTACTAGATATAATAATAATAATAATAATAATAATGATGGTAACAATGACAATAAACAACAAATACATGGGAATAAAATAACACACAACAAAAATAAGACATATAACATAAACCGAAAATATTAAGAACAAACATAAGATGACATAATGTAACGTAGCATGGCATAAAATAACACAGCATAAAATAGCATAACATAACAAAATATAGCATAGCACAGACTAACAACAGCATCATACATGTAAGTTTAATTTTAAATGAGCACATGTATTGATGTCCCTTTGCACATTTGATTGTATCTTCCCTGTTTGCAGTTCACGCACAACAAAGTCTGCAGAGATTATTTGAAGATCAATCTGAGATGAGATGTAATCTGAGATGTAAGTCATCTGATTGTTCTTCACGTATGTGTGTTGGTGCTGACAGTGTTTTTTTTTTTTTTTAGTGGAGTGGCCAGTAAAGCTTTTACTGTCTGTCTGCTGGAGGACATCTGGGCTGCAGGAGCAGGATTACCTCTCTATAGGTTTGATGTAGGGTGCACGCAGCACAGAC